CATTTTTCTGTCGCTACCCGGATTCGAACCCGGGACCTTTGAATGAGAGGCCAACACCTTAACCTCTAGGCCACGAGAGCCCCCTCACAAAAAAAGATTTAGACGAAAGAAACAAACAAAATAAAAAAAGTAGAACGTTTTATAATGAAAACATTCGCTTGTTAAAGAGGTTTTAAAACTTTATATTTTTTTGTAGGTTTATTTTGGCGTGCCTGGTTCAGTGTGTGTATGAATGAAGAAGGTTCAATCGACAGTAAGAATCAGGGAACAGGCAGTTTTGTGCACTGCAGAGAAATGTTAGTCTCAAATATCTGTTGGGGACATAATAATATTATTATAACATGTTGATTGTTAGTTATTTCTCTTTTTTGTACAATATTGAAAATGATATTTGTTCGATGTTCATTGATATGAATGTAGCGGTCACCATCGAACACACTTTCTCATTAGAATAAATTTGTCACAATTGGTCGTCTTGCTCTTTGTTTTACTTCTTTGGTCTATCTATCTACTCTGTCAGATATATTTTCGTTAGACTAAAACAATCAGACAACAAAAGATACATCTTTATTGTCCAGATCCTGGCACATTAGTTTGGTGTTTCACCACGTACAAACAAACACACACACAAACACACACACATACACACACATACACACACACTCAAACACCCAGCAAACAACCCACTCATCCACATACACACACACACACACACACACACACATACACACATACACACATACAAACAAACACACACACGTATACATACACAAGCACAAAATCTTCCTTCCTATTACGCAATCACTTTGTGGAACCATCCAACTACTTTATTTGAATAGATCAACACCCTCCACCCCCCTCTCCCTCCAATCAGAATAAAGGTACATTTTTTTTTTACTGATCTGATTGGGTGAATTTCAAAACCTCATCTCGACAACTCACGTAAATTTAGAGAAAATTTAGATCATTTAGAAAGCAGGCTGCTTCGACCCTGCCTGTCAGAACTACCTACGTGAAGTGGGATTTAGTATCCCAGCAGAACTCAATGAAATAGATTCCTTCCACACGGGGAAGCAACCCTATTCGTTAGTGTGCAACAGTTGATACCCAACACACACTGCCAATTTGATTTATTTCATTCAGCCAGAGCCAGCCAAATCTTCCTACATGGAGGCGCAAAAGCTAGCATTTATCTCACAATTCGACTGAATTCGTCTGTGACATTTACAAAATCGACGCATTTCTTTTTTCAAGGACGTGAATTGAAACGATCTTAGCCGTGGAATGTGATCAGCAATATCGCAAGGCTTGTAGCCTACAAGTCAGGGTCAACAAGGCAACTACGTTTTTAAAGTTATAAATTCGGGTTGCTCTAGGAAGAGTGAAATCGTATCCACCTTTTCATACTGGAGGCAGAACAACATCGGCTATCAAGTCCAAACCTGAAAGAGTATTTATTACTCTATTTCAATCATAGTGAGGCAGCCTGGTGAAATCAGGCGCCCGTCAAAATTTTTTTTTTTAAATTGAAGTAAACGGGGTTCTTTTTTTTTTGGCTGGTGAGACAAAGTTTATTGAAGCAAAATTTGGTTTTTGGCTCAACAACTTTTATGTCTATTTTAAAACATTTTTGTGTGTAGATTTCACTGAAAGGAAGTAGGTTAAATGTACACACAATGTAAATATTGGAGGCAATTTACTTGCCAATTGTATCTCTGAAATCAGGCGACTCTCCACCCCCCCCCCTCTTCAATTGCAAATACATCAACTTCTATCCAAGATAGATTGGTATTTTTTCATCAAAAGCAAGACAAAAGAACATGTTTTTATGACGAAACCAATAATCCCATATGCCCGAAAAATGACGAGCGACTGATTCCACCGCGTTGTGGCTCGTGAAGAAAACTGAGTAAAAGCTCTTGCATCTACATGGTCACGACCGCAGCAACCTCACCCTTTCTGTTTTAATCATCATTCTCATCAACTACCCTTCCCCCTTTTCTCCGTCATTTTCTGCGTTCATCATCGTCTTCTTCTGCGTTCATCATCATCGTCTTCTTCTGGGTTCATCATCATCATCA